AATTAAAGAAAGAAGGGTAACCAGCGGTAACCCCCATCCATTAGATCTACGTGAATGGAGTACGGTTAAGCACGTACAATAAATTACATCGCAGACTGGTCTAGAACTGAATGTTAGCTGTTCAAATGAATAAAGTAAAAATTACTTATAAACATACGAAATATATACATATTATTTGCATCGTTAGCCTTGATGTTACAATTGAAGGGTTCGCACCGATATCAGTGTTCCCGAAAAATGTGCTTTTTCCTTTCATTGCAATTTTAGAATCTATAAACATGACTGTATATGTCAATAAATTACCTTAGATCGCAATAATTGGATAAAAAACACGAAAAATGAATTAATTTTTAATGAAACAAATCTTTGAAATCGAATACTTCCAAACACAATTTCTCGCCAGAAACGCCCTCATTCCTTAGAGTCCTCCAACTAATTAACTAACATTTGCAGTAAAATTGACTTTACTGTTAACAACAAAGTAAACAGATAAACGTCAATATATTCTCAGAAAATTTCATCGATCTTGTTTCATGATCAGTGGTTGATATTAAACAGTCATTATTATTTTTATTGTTTTCAAGCATTTGAGTTTTCAAATATTGATGATTAACTTCATTGTGGTTTGTCGCAGGGGTTACTGCGACGGTTTATATAAAATAATCCGAGAGAGTTTTTGGTTTTATGTAACGAGAACTTTAATACAACTTGTAACAAAAAAAGGCGATGGGGTACAGTGTGTTTTAAAATACGTAAAAGGTAAAAGGTAAGCGAGTGACGGACGAGACAGAGATACGAACACGTCGAGAGTCGGAGGAAAACTGACTAACTAACTAACTAACTAACGTCTCCCGGTCGAGAGGTCCTCGTATTTATTGGGGAGAGCGTATTAAAATCGGTAAGGGAAGATCCTTGGGAAGGGCGAAGGCCTTTCCCGAAGATTTTCCGACCGGGATGATCCGGAACCTAAGGTCCGAAGCTGTGTCTCGTCGTTTTTACTGTTTTATGGCGGTGTGTACGCCTCGCGTCGGGAAAACCCGAAAAAGGCATCTGCACACTCCGCTTTTGGAGGACGTGGCTTTTATTATGTCTGGTCCACCACACTATCATTATTATTTTTATTGTTTTCAAGCATTTGAGTTTTCAAATATTGATGATTAACTTCATTGTGGTAAGCTAAATTTGCCCTGGAGAACTCTAGGAGCTCACCAGAGACCTCCACAGATCGCAGAGACATCCAGATGGTCTACTAAACTGATCCCTAGACTCAACAAAAACCCCAGACACGAGTCAACCTCCACGACCGATAACCATGCATTGCAAGGGCTCTAGGGTTACTCCGAGGGGCTGTAGGTCGAGAGCTAGCTAACAAAGGGGCAGAGTCAATCCTCCAAGGAGCTCCCTGATTGGCCTGGTGGCAGAACCAAGTTACTAGTGGAACCCCCTAGCCAATCAGTCGTCTGGGGTTTCAAACTTACTTTACGCTAAAATTGAATTATCTGTAATAAAACTTCTTACATATATTAACTATAACAGTCGACGATTTTATTTCGGAATACATTTGTAACGTTGTTACAAGGGTCAATAAACACTAAAATGAAATTGAAAATTTTCAATATTTCTCTACTTATGATGCATAAGAATAAGTTAGTTTTAGAAAATTATCAACAAATGTTAGAAATGTTAACTTGACATATAATTTCATATCTATATCATATGTCTATAATTTACAAATAACGTTTCCATATTTATTATTAATAATTTGTTGAAAATAATTATAGATGATATAAAACCATGAAATAAAATTTAAAAAAAACATAATTTGATGTCTGGTTTGAATTTTCAGTCATCAAGTTTGTCTCCAAGATTCGAAGAGTTGAAAGGTTTCGAGCTCATTTTCAGCTATTTTCCTCGAACATTAACGAGTTGGAAAGCCTCGAGCTGAGACGCAGCAACATTGTGTAAAAATATTAAACAGCACTGTAAAGTCGATACTAATTTTCTGTGTTGTAACGTTATGTAGTTCACTGGTTGACTGTAATAATTCTGTAGAGGGCGTTAGCAACCACTGGTTTCAAGCGATGTCGGTATTTCAGGACATGTGACGAAGCCCCATGTACGAAGAACCCGTACAGCAAATGCATCTTATGGGCTTTTTTGTCTCAGCATTACCGATAGTTCACGAAAAATAGGCACGTTAGCAAGAAGCGAATATCCTGTATATTTCATTTCTACTACGAGTGCTAGAAATTATTTGGATGACGGGAATATACAGGGTGTTCCACAATTATTTTAACAGCCGAAAATGAGGGGTAGCTGAGGTCATTTGAAGTAACTTTTTCCTTTGCGAAAATGCAATCTGCGGCTTTGTTTACGAGTTATTAACGAAAAACACTGACCAATGAGAGGTGACGGCGCGAAGTTCGAGAGCCCGCAGATGGGGCTTTTGACATAACCTTGACATAACCTTTAAAATATCACTATTACGTAGTAAAAAAAAATCCGGAAAGTTCTTGCTTCGTGATTTGTTCAATACTTCGAACGCGGCTCGAGTCCGTCCCGACCATCTGTCAAAGCGTCGTGCTGCGGGCTCTCGAACTTCGCGCCGTCACCTCTCATTGGTCAGTGTTTTCCGTTAATAACTCGTAAACAAAGCCGCAGATTGCATTTTCGCAAAAGAAAAAGTTACTTCAAATAACCTCAGCTACCCCTCATTTTCGGCTGTTAAAATAATTGTGGAACACCCTGTATATATATATTTCAATAATTCGCATTTTCCGTATGAATTCAATTGCTAATACTGTTCCTTTTCGAGTAATCAAATTTATTCAAATTCATGCGTATTCAATTCTCAATCGTGGCCAGTCATAATTTCAATTGCAATCGAATCGGATTCATTTTGAAGAATAATTTGAAACTAATAATACTCTCTTTTAACTAGGATTTTCAGATTCATTATTTTTAGGTTAATACAACGGATTATGTAACTTATTATATATACATAACGTTAATTGGTCACTGTACTCGCTGCAGTAGCAATAGTAAGTCTTTATAGTCTTTTTAGCGATATCGGTATTTCAGAACACGTGTCACGAAACCCCATGTGGTGTCTTGTCTACCCTGATACTTAGTCTGCAGTTGTGATTTCGAAACCAAAAAGCATGTCATAATAAAAATGAAGTATACCGAATACTTGATTCTCACTAATGAATTTAAATTTTCGTGTGACACGAAAATATATCGGGGGCTCGCTAGGTTTACTCCTACACCTCGTTTGTACAAATTCCAACCTATAAGTAAATCTGATTACGAGACATATTTGAATGCTGGCATTCTAATATGCAAAAAATAGATACTTGTATTTAAGTTTTATATAGCTGTTGCCGTATTATCGTACAAAAGTAGCACAACAAATATGAATATAGACAAAAGTAGACATAAATAGACAAAATACACAAAAGCAAAGAATAACGATGCAAACTACAACACGCCTTGCCTTCTTTTACGATTGATACAAATTCATCTCTGTCTTGAACCGCAGACTTTTCTGTCTATAGAGTTTGGACAATTCTAAGACTCTTTTATCATTTCTGTGTCGCGCCCAACGTTATCGGTAGTTCAAGAGTTCGTGCACGTTAGCACAGACTCAGGATCCGTAAGTCTGTGCCAAGTCTGCGCCGTTCTCCACGGTCGGTCACAAAGCATCGAGTCGATAATAAAACTCATACTATCGTCCGTTATCTACCATAGCGTCGGTAACGCAGGGCCGTGGCGAGACAATAGCATAGAGGCAGACGAAGTTCACGTGGGAAGAAACTTCGTCAACTTTCTGCAATACCAATGGCAGATAGAATGTGTACTTGCCCCATCGGAGCAGCAACGTCGTCGAACTGTCAGGCGCAGGAGCGAATGGTGCGATCGTCCTACGGGTTGCCAGTCGGCAGGAGTTCAGTCGGTGCCAGTCCCGAAACGCGTTCACGTCTGGACATCTTGCGGGGCTCGTTCTCAAAAATGGCAACGAATATGTGCACCTGATAGAGCAGTCCATTCGCTAGCGAAATCGACTCAGTTGAAACGGCACAGGGAACACGGGGCACAATGAATGGCTGACGGGACGTCACGCGGTTTTACGAACGGCTCGTTTGAACACCGGTCGTTGCCAATCACTCGCTGGGGAATACCCGGAATCGTGGCTATCGGGCGGCGTGATTGTCGGTTCACGTTTCAATAATATATTAACGAGCCGCTAGCTTCCCGGCCGGGTTAATAGTGGTACATTGGATGTTAGGCGATTTCGATGGCACACCCGTGACCAATGCTCCCTCAGGACAAAGGTAAGCGAGACCCAGCTGTCAGCTGATTCCAATTCCAAAGGGTTTTTGCCGAAATCGACAGCGCGATTCGCCGCGCACTGTCGAATGTCTTTCTTGAATATTCCGCTAACGATGAACGAGTTACGTGGAACGCCGAACTAGCTCTCGGTGCGTTTAAAGAAACCGCTTCACACGCGATAGCGGCAATAAATCGATAAAGGTTGGCAGTAGTTGACAGTTAATATATCTTATTTATTAATGTGAATGGAACGATCTCTCGTTTAATATGTAAGACAAAGCTAAGAATTGATACAGTCGTTCGATGAGTTACGGAGAGTCGCATGCGAAAATACGTGGTTCTAGCGAACCGGTAATAAAAAATGAAACCAGACGATTGTTTATGTAATAATGACAGAGAAATTACGTTGAAATTTTCTTTCCGAAGAAAGATGATTTGAATATTTATCGATCACGCGTACTTTCGTCGGAATTATTTGACTTGTCTGACTATTGCCGAGCATTTCTACTTGCACCGTGTGCTGATCTACGGTTCCATCGATCTTGCCATCTTTTTTCTTGAAGAAATTAGATCGGATTAGTACGGAACGCGGATAATACGGTGGTATACTCATAAATAAATGCAGGGGCAAAAATTACCGGCAATGATCGGATGTAGAAGCTGAGTGCACCGATGCTCGATGAATTATCTTCATCGATTTTCTGTTGCAGTAGAAAGTTACTCTTTACACGCTTTATTAATCTTTCAGCGTAGAAGAATTTTCCGTTAGGGCATTCTTTTTTTTTAAATAAAATTGTTAACAAATAGGTTATATGCTCGGTGTTCGATGCTTGCGGATTTGATTTAATTAAAAGACTGAACCTTTGGAAATTAGAACACCGTAATAATTTCGTCATTAAAATATCAGTTATTGCAATTGCTGATATCATTAATAAGTTATCATTTCTGAAATATTGAAATTGTAATTATCCCGGTATATCGAATGTTCCCAGCATTTGTCTATCAAATCGGTCGAAGTGTGACATGCCAGCGGAGCAATTAAATTCCGCACGGACATTGACTCAGCGATTGTGCGTTACCTCGTAGCAAGACGGGAAATGGCAATTTAAATTAATTCATCGATCAATGTACGAATCCTAACCAGCAGAAAGTAAAACCGTGAATCTGGTGCCACCGCGTTCCGACGAATTGGTATTAATTAATTGTTCAATATGTGCAACGTCTTCAATACGAAGTAATGAATTTCTGTGGTAACAGGATAGATAGGAAGCATTTTATTAAAACATAATAAGTATTGGAAATATAACATGAACGTTTAAAATTTTTGTTTATCAGAATTTTCGTGAATTATGAGATTTTAATTTGCTTACGTAACTATCGACATTCTATCTGAAACATCCCGTATGCAAATGATTTATTAACATTGAAAAAGTTTTAAAGGCTTTGGCCATCACGGCTGATACAAATAATATCACGTTTCTACATTATTTATATTAAAATAGCGGTGACACTTATTCGTAAAGATATTCTGTCAATGATACAGGTATTTTCTTTTTTGTTACATTCTTTAGACAACGTCTGCGTCGTCACGTCTTTTCCATAAGGAAAATGTGACTGTCGAGAGGACGTCGCAATTTATGATAAACTGATATACCTTGAAAGGAAAATGAAGAATGAAATATTCAGTACGCTTAAATTGTCTACGGAAAAATTTGAGTTGAGACGTTCTTCAAGAAGCTTCGTTTTCGTGGAAATCGAATTTGGAAATTCGTCCAAAGCAACGAATATGTCTTTCCATGGTTCACTGATTCTACTAAGAATAGATATTTTACTAGAGTTTCGCATCTATAAAATCCATTTCTCAGAATTCAAACACATTGTAATTTTTCTTTTATTCCAAACTTTGTAAAGTGTAAGATATCCATAAGAATATGAATTACAATATTTTTTAGTTTTATGTTTCCTTAATTTCATTCACAAATCATTCTCCTCTATATTTTTTGAAAGATATATTTTCTGTATACATATTTTGTATATATATATTTTTCCTATATTTTATATTTTTTTTATAATTTCTAAAATTATCCAACGATATTTTATGATTTTAAAGTAAAAGATAGATTATTTGCAATATTATTTGGTTAAAAAACGATGCTTCTATTTACGTTTTCGTTAGAAAGATAAACTAGACGTGGAACAATTTAAATTATCCATTTTTAATTAGCCTGAGATGAAAGTATCTAGAAGCTTCGTCACGCTGTAATGAACTTGCATGCGAAATTCACTGCGAACGCATAACAAAGTTACACTTCAGAGGGAAAGTGTGTTGTGTAACAAATAATGCGTAATTCATTTCATATTAGAAGAAAGCCGAAATTATTTTATGAAACGATAAATATATTCATTAATACGAGCTCGCATTATTAGAAAGATAACAAGACAAAAGACTAAATTCATGTTTCACGTATGCAATCTAACATGAAAAGTCTATCATACCGGTTAAAATGGCCGATTTTACGTTCCTTATTTTAAAGTTGTTGAAATTATAAAGTGAATGATTGAATAACTTTTTTTAATTGAAGGATGCATTATAAGAAAATTAGCGAAAATTTAAGTAAGTTTAATTTAGTCATTTTTACAAACCAACATACATCAATCACTTTTAGTGTTCAGTCAACGTTGTTGCTTTTAAAAATTGGCGAATAAAAAGCAATATTGAACATGCTTCTTGTATCAACGGTTTTTATTATTTTATAAAAAGATTCCTCAAAATATTATTCGCATAACTATAACAACAGATACCTAATTCGCTATTTTCTCGAAAATGAAAATCTGCAAAATTTTTCAAAATTTCCGTAAACACAAATTTCGATCGATACCAACGAAACTGGCATAAAGTTTCGAGAACGAGTTACGTGCCGGAGAACACGTAAATGGACAAATCGGGACAGGTATTTTTTAATCCTATGTCATTTTTCTCCTGTTTTCCGCACAGCTTATAATGCAACATTGTGCCAGCGTTATAAGGTATTTTAGGAATCCAAATAAAAGGCATAGATCACAACTGAATGGCCGTGTTCGATTCAATTCCCCCGTGTCGCTATCACTTATTTGTTTGCATTCAGTCACATTCGAAATTGCTCGGAATACGTCTCCCGTATTATAATCTCTAAGCTTTTAACAAAGGAACATTCTGGATTAGGTTCAATAGTTTCCTCGATGCTATACGTTGCACTTTATTCGCCCTTTTTTATGTTAAAGTATTCGTTTTTAGGACAACGGGAGGCATGAGATGTTTCTATGGTCTATTCGAAATGTTGATTGACACTTTGCCAAGGATATGAGCATTTTTATGATGTAACGATTACACAATTCTACACACCCGACGCTAATAATGTCTCGAAGGATAGCCATAGATAGCCCATTTTCCAGAAACAGTACGTGAGTGATGCACATTGTGTGAAATTTTAGCAATTCAGTTTTATTTCCGGTGATTTTATTGGCTTCCTTATTGATAAACGTAGTATCAATTTACTGTTGGTAATAACATAAGTTTTTAAGAATATTTTACATTTACACACGAAATAAAGAAAGCAAAAAGTTTCATTAAAAATAATTAGCTTCAAATCCTGATCGTTGACTATTCACGATTAATGTCAGATAAATTTTGCATAGGAAATATAAAGCCCAGGACTCGTCGTTCGCACAGGCTGTACAATAATGTGGCTTGGAAACTATGCATGCTTAATTATCTGCATAAAGTTTCATGCGAAAAGTTTGCAGAAAATTCGGAATATAGATTTGATCAAAATATTTAATATTATTTGCATAACATGAATATGTTGCGTGAGATTAATCAAGTTCGAGAAACGGTATAGTCTGGTTTGTCACTGAAGAAATTAGTCTGTCCGAATATTGTTAAATATACCTGTTTTACACTGGACGCTGATACCTATTATTTTCTATTATATTATAGCAGTCACATCAACGTCAGATCTTCATGTATTTATGATATCCATAAATTCATGAAATACAAAAACACGTTCGCATTAACAAAATTGAAAGACATTTGTGAGTATTGGAAAAAAAATTCTCTTCAATTTCGTTGGAATGGAGTAATTTATTAAAATGAAACTTTACATAAAAGCGGCACTGTGCTGGAAACGCATTCCCGGATAAATGAGACGATATTAAAATCAAATACGACAAATTTATGAACTGACTTTTCTCTTTCAAGGTACACTCAGAGATAAAATTAGCTTCATACCTTCCTTCGCAAGACATATTAATTGATTCAAACGGCATGAAATGAAGAAATAATTAATCAAAGGGGACACAATATGCAATCAAAATTTTGTTAGTGAATTACTTTCACGATATTACCTCGAAAAGTTTCGACGAATCAATTTGAAAATATAGTATTTCACGTATGCGAGAGATATAACTTTATTGAAATATATATATATATATATCTTTTTTCAGGTTTCGCCGAATAAAAATATCTTGCTTTTATCAATATTCATACATATTCGTGTGCCTGCATTTTATCTGAATATATCAGATTCCTCGCTAACAAATTGAAATTCACATTTCAATATCAAAAGTTAATAAAAAAAAAAGTAGAGAAAGATTTGAAAAAACAGAAAACATGGAAACGTAGCTGTGTTGCTACAGTCTCGATTGGTTGGATGGTTGTGTACCTGTGAAAAGACATCAGTTTCCTAGAGAATTTTCGCAGGTTCCTAGAAACCACGCGTAAACGCGGTAGAGGCACGATCAGCTGCGGAATCTCGCTGCCATGCCGATGGGAATTTCACAATTTCCGGACAGATCCAATAATTTCCTCGTTCGAGACGTGTTCGGTCGCGAGAGCGGGGAACTCGATGAACCTAACGATGATAAAATGGATTTAAATTGCACCGCGTGCGCACACCTGCACGACAAACCGTCCGAGGAAAATTGGCGAGTCCGGGTTCTTACTTTCACCTTCATAAAAACAATTACCCTTCTTTTAATTTTGTTTCTCTCTCGGTGTTACTGCAAATTTTAACACGTACTTCGATATCCTGCCGAGAGTATACCGTATTGAACAACAATATGCTTTCCTCTTGTGACGTCCAAGCAATTGAATAAAAATGTCGATTAAGGGTCCGTGTTATGTTAAAAATACATACAATGACTCCCGTTAATATTCGGACACTTCTTAAAACGGCAATAACTTTTTCAGAACTGGACTAAACGACTTGAATTTTTTTTAAGATGATGACCATAGCTATAATGCTCTTTTTTAATTTTGCTATTGCTTAGGATGACAAAAAAAAATAAAAGCTATCGTTTTTAACTTTTTCATCTGAGCCTATAATGAAAATTTAAAAAATGTGTTTTGTAGATCTCGGTAAGTTTTATGCATGTTGAAAATGTTGTCGACATCTATTGACCTTGGTACTAGCTGTAAACAATTAAAGATCGCAAAAATCTCAGTTTTGTCCCGATTTTTGACACTTTCGACCAATAAATGAAAAATGTACAGTTTTTACAATCTTTTAACGCTTGTAACTTGACTTTAAGTTAACTGACTACGATGAAATTTTCAGCATGCATATAACTTACCGAGATCTACAAAACGCATTTTTTAAATTTTCGTAATAAATAGGCTCGGACAAAAAAGTTAAAAAACGGGAGTCTTTTATTTTGTTTTGTCATTCCAAGTAATAGCAAAATTGTAACAAGATAGTTTAGTCATTGTCTAGTATACCAGTCCCTCTATCATCAAAAAAAAATTCAAATCGTTTATTCTAGTTTTAAAAAAGTTATTGCGTTTTTAAACATGTCTGAATATTAATGGAAGTCACTGTATGTACAATATACACCTCTATTTCAGGTTTCCATATTAAAATATAGAACTCAGGAACTAGCTGACATTTCATGACGAAAATTCGCCAATTAGAGTAGTGGATCCGGTGTGGGATCATCAGTTGCCGTGACATGTTAAATTTTTTCATTTAAGAATAAATAAAATTATTCGATAAATGAAGGTTAGTTGTGCCCGAAAACAGGCCAAAGGCACAGCAATTGGTATAAATGACAGTATAAACGTTCGTTGGAGAAAATGTTCATTGAACTTGTCATCATAGTATTTCTGGCGATGAATAGTTCATTTTATATTAGATCACGCAGTTTTGAGCATAAAAAATATTTTACTTTGCGTTATAAGTAAAAGACTTGTCTCGTAATTTGTTGGACTATAATTGAAAGTGCTGTTACTATTCAAACATTTATTAGGAAGCCTTACAAAAATCGTAATTGGTTGGAGTTGCAACGAAAGGTAGAAATGGTTCATTTTCGAACATATTTGACCAACTTTCTGAACTCTGGAATATCGTACTAATTGGTTTGCATATTCGTTATTTTTCCGAATTTCGAGGAAAGAACATTTGCAGAAAGTATAGTTAAAACATTCTACAGTCGAATGAAGAAAAAGAACAAAAACTATTTTTTTTGCTTACTATGTTGCCTCCTTAAAAGGCAGAAATCAAAACAGTGAAAATATTTCAAATAAAAGTCTATGAAGCACACTGCAAGAGTAATAATATTCATTTATTTTCAGACGATTTGCTCTGAAAAGAAGTCGCTCCGAACGGTAATGGCGAAGTTTTATCGGTCGAAAAGTTACAAGCTCGGGTTGATTGAATGGATAATCATCGTAGATGTGATTCGTGACGGTACATTTTTCTCTGGTCTAGCCATTAGCATGAATCCCTCGGAATCTCTAACTCAATCCCACTGAAATAAAACGAACAAAACAAGAAAACGTCATTTAAAAAATGAGACTTCGAGCTTCGTCATTTTTCATATCTTTGACTGTAACAGGAAAATGCAATGAATGTTCTAGAATCGTGCAAGAAGCATCTCCTCTAATAATTTCAATGAGTGAGATAGATCGTCTGCGTCGTTATCGAGATATTCTGTAGATATTGCAAACATAAATCTGCAGAAAAATGCACTTAAATCATGTTTTAATTTCACTGTCTGTAAAGTGATAATTTAATCAAAGTAGCAAAAACGTCAAAGCAGTATCAGAACACTAATGTACTATCTTTTACTTATTAAAATTATTGAGAGGAGATATCCCTCTGGTTTCAGTTTTGAGGTTGCGTGCAGGTTCATAGTCCATTAATCAATTGTAATGACTCGATGTAGTGTAACTGCATTAATCTCATGGAAATGATGGAAATGGGCTGCGCAAGACGCTTTGAACGTAATGAAGAAAATCTGTCGGAATCTTATGAAAAAGATGCATAATAGAACGATGCTTCTGCTTGGACCGTTTTCATTAAGGATGCAAAGAACGGATTAGGATTGACAGAGCTTGGAGGATTCTGCATAATGTGTCTCGAATGTTTTAAGCACGCTTAAAAACGATCCCATGCGTTTATATATATATACTGGGAGCCAACAAGTTCGGAGTGTTTGAATTATGCAGTGTGTTTCAAAAATATGGTATTCTCTGGAATATGCAGAAGGTTTCTGGACGTAAGCAGCTTAATTCTCTTTTCTATGAGGAAAAGCTGTTTTAATTAGTGCATCTGAAAAGTTACCAATGGTCATGAAATAAAATTTAAGAAAATGGTTCTAAGAAGGATACGCTATTTAAATTTATAACACTGTTACAAGACTTAATTTTATTACGATCTTTCTGTGCCCACCTTCTGTTGACATTGAAGTTCATTCATTTGCATAAAAATTAATATCTAACTGTGTGTAAATAATGGATAATTGTTGCAAATGTGTCTAGTGTTTTCGCTTCAGCTTGACCATTCCTTGACATTTCTAGTAAAAACGGGTATAGACGGCTACAATTATTGGACCAATTATTATTTTCCGATCTATCGATTATCTATCCCGAGGTATCCATTGTGGAAACAACTGTATTATAAACAGTATTAATAGGTGTGGGTAAAAGTAGAAATGATCAGCAATTGTTATTGTTATTAGAATCCATTATCATGCAGCTGAATGGCTCGGTAGATTTGATTTGTTTGTCCGATTAGTACGAGCATTTCTCTTTGATACCACGGCGATAGTTCTGCTGCAAAAGAAGCTCGACAAACGGGGATGATGGAATGGAGGGGGAGGGGGGGGGGGGGCTAGGACACGTTCATCGAAGT